AAGCCTCAATGTTTTCCTGTTACTGCATACCATTCGAATGAGATATGATTAACTTACCTGCGTACAGCTGTAGAATTTAGGTGTCATTTCATCTTCAGCTTAACAGAATCAAAAGAAAGCCATCATATCCTATACATTACATGAAGTTCATTCTAAGTGCCCAACATTATGACAATTAAATCCTAAACCATCTCTTCTTGAGACATTATCCACCTACCCTATTTTGGTGAGAGAAGTTTAAACCAGCCACAGCATTAACTTTTAGTGTTCAAGAATTCCATCACCCACTTTTCATGCGTAGGTGATCAATTCAAGAAATCACAGTTCTGCTCATTGAAAATATTATATTTTTAGTTTTCCTGTCTTCAACCTAATGTTTAATTTGGTTCACACCATTCCAAAAACCATCTGCTGTAAACCGCAAAGCCCCCCAAAAACTCTCAGATTTAAAAGCGTAAATAATCTGCCCAACGGCTTAAATTAGAGAACAAAATTTTCTTATTTACTTTTAAGACTGCCCAAAGGCTTAAATTAGAGAACCAAATTTTCTTGTTACTTTCCGGAGAAAAAGAAAAATTATACTTGACTTCAAATCGAACATAAGCCCCTTCATTAAAGAAAGATACAACAATGATGACTTGTGTGTATGTAGAGCCCAAGCAGGAGTCCCTTTCTTCACCTATTCGCAATTTTTATCGAAAAAAAAAAGGTGTGGATTGATTTGAGCCTTTTATATCCTCCAAAACAATATGAAATACCTACCTATGGTATTGCACACAGTCAAACATTTTCCGATTCAAGTCAGACGTATGCTTTTAAAAAGAATAAAATGCTCAATCGGTTGACTAAAGTTTGCTATTTCTTAAGAAAAGTCTCCTGCATAAACGAGTGATGCAACAAGCACATCGTTGTTGAGGAATAGCTCTTTCAGAGGCCTTGTTTTGTTCTTTACCTCAGCCAATCGAAAGAAAGGTGACACATAATGTAGCATATAAAAACTCAAAGATGTGAAGACGATGACAGTAAATGAATTTTAGAGAAAGGAAAATAAAAGTTTTATTCCTGAGGGTACAGATATAACACGAAATGAGACAAATACTTCGACAAAAGAACCATTAATCAGAAAAAATATGGTGTTACACACAGTGAAAAATGTTTCTATTCAAGTCATGACAGTAAATGAATTTTAGAGAAAGGAAAACAAAAAGTTTCATCCCTGAGAATAAACACATTAACACTAAATGAGACAAATACCGACAAAAGAACCATTAATCAGACAAAATATGGTGTTGCTCACAGTCAAAAATGTTTCGATTCAAGTCATGACAGTAAATGAATTTTAGAGAAAGGAAAGCAAACGCTTTATCCCTGAGGATAAAGATATTAACACTAAATGAGACAAATAGACAAAAGAATCATCAATCAAACAAAATACTGTGAGCACCTTTAGCAATGTCACACAAAAATGTGACAAAATAGCGGAGATGCGCACTGGTTTTTGAGCAAGGCCACTATCAAAAGTTCCTCCCTGTCAAATGTTAATGATACAGCAGACTTGTGCAAAAACCAGTACGCATCTCAGCCATCTTGCACTTGATGAATTCATTTGTCTGAGGACACTGGCTCAAGTCAACAAATTGCAAAGAAGATTCTAGTCAAGAAATAATTAATAAAATTCATCAGACAAAATACACGTGACATCTAAGGAAATTATAAAAAACTCTGAAATTTTTCAAAGAAAATTCCAGTCAAGAAATAAAATCATTAAGAAATATACTGAAGACACCTTTATAGAAACAAACAGAAGCTCAACAAGTTTTCAAAAACAATTTTCATCAAGAAATAAAATAAAATTACAAAGGTACAGTGCTTCCAAAAATTAGTACTTTTGTTCCAATTTAGATTTACACTAGAATGACAGTAATGTTTTCCGTATAAAAAATTTTAAGTCTTTCAAAGATAAGGAAAAAATCTAAGTCTAAGAATAATACAAACAATTTAATTTAAACAAGGAAATGGTAGAAAATTTAGATTTACACTAGAATGACAGTAGTTTTGTCCGTATAAAAATTTTAACAGTCTTTCAAAGATAAGAAAAAAATCCAAGTCTAAGAATAATAATACAAACAATTTAATTTAAACAAGGAAATGGTAGAAAAACATAATTTATAAAGGCAACATAGTGAAACTAGAAATTTCATAAACTCCACACCAAACAGGTTCACCAGGAAGTTCCACTGGAATCATTTCTTCTGAAACACACGAAAACACTTTACATTATTGACTCAAAAAAGGATAAATTTGAGAGAAATTGTAAGAATCAAACAAGTGCCAAAATTTAATCTATTCTCAATAGTAGAAAGTTCGACGAACATCACTGCAAGAAATTCCAATGAGCAACTCCTCCTCGATCTATAATAATAAAAATACGATACGATAAAAGTACACAAAACAATTTCAAATTTTTGCATAGTAAAGCGCTGGTTTCCCTTTGCAAGCTATTGAATCAAATACTCCACGGCACATGTATGAAGTGTATTATGTTATATATGACGCCATACGACATTCTGAAAATTAAGCAAAATTATAATCGTTCCACCCACTCTGCTGCTTTACTACTAGAGAAACGAAACTTAGTTATGAGCCCACAGGGAAGTAATTTTCAGTCAAATACGAACCTATTCAGACAGTAATTGCAAGATGGAAGTTGCTAACAGCCTCATCCCCCATCCATCTAGATGAACCCCATCATAGCTCACACTCTGAGGAGCCTTGATGAGTTTCATACCATTCTTTCTGGCTAGTGAGGCAATCCAGTTATTCGCTTCGTGGATTGCCTCAGCCAAGAAAGGTTTCCTGGGAATGGGAGGCAGTTCTATCAGGATTATTTTCTTAAAAAATGATGATGACGCGGCATCCAGTGTCAGGTCAAGATATTGCCTATAGTTGAATTGGCCATTCTTCAGGAAATCATTCGTCCCTAGAAGAATGACCAAATTCGAGGATGGCAAAAATCTAGTCCCTCTCTCATAGCAGAAATTGGAGAAGGTTTCTAGAGCTTTTGCTACAGTGCTGCCAGAAATCGCTAGGTCAGTCACTCTATACTTAGCAAATCCCCTTTTAAAGAACTGTGTTCTTTGGACACGTCTTAGGATGCTATCACCCAGCAATACAACTTTCTCCTGTAACAGAGGCAAACACTAGGGTACATCTAAAACGGAGATCACTGTATTTTTTCATGATGAACAATATGACTTACTTTACTAACCAAATGATTCTTCAAAGCCATCTTTTTCATAAAATCTTCTCTACCTCTCTATGAAAATGTTAAAAATAAATAATGAATAATTTGTTAAAATATGCCTCAAACAATCCCAAAAAGGATAGTAAAAAAATAAAAATAACAGTTATCATCAAGTAAATTACTGGTTGATAGCTTCTGAACTATCAAGTGAAGTAGACTTTAGCGATGTGCTCTCGGAAGTAAGTATTGATTTTTAGTCTGGGCACAATGGCGGCGCAGCATCCTTCTCTCTTCCACAATCAGTCATCCTTGATCCCTATTCAACAGCCGCAAACCAGTAACTTGGAAACAGAAATTAGACAACTCCCAACTCATCTGATGACACCTCTAATAATGTCTAATAATCCCTCTAATAATCTGATGCAAGAAATGACTCACTTGACTCTTGTAAACACTTGTCAAAGGAGAAGTTATGAACAGTTATTGGACGAAGGAAGAATGAATGTTGAAGAAGTTATTGGATGAAGTTATTGGACTACGTTTTGCAATTTGGACCTATAGATTCTAGCCCGCATTAAAAACAACGTATGTGCCATTGGTTTCCCTATGCACATAAGTGTTTTTCCAGAAGAGCCAGCATGTATAGTTCCAAATTGCAACATGCAGTCCAATTAACCTTCCACAAATTCTAATCATTTATTGAGTTTGTTTTTAAAATTTAAAATTACTTAATCCATAGACCTTGACGATTTCATTTTTGGAATAGCAAAAGTAAAAAATTATAGAGGGAGGTGACTTCTATGAAGTCTGTTTTTACATCAATTAATTTTAGAACATACTTAAAATTGTTAATTCACACTGACCTTTTCCAATTCCGCCAATACCCCCTCCACCATACTAGGCACTAGAGCTTGAACCATTTTGTTAACCACTGCAACGACATCAGCCTGTGTAACACAAAACAACATAAGAAACAAGTGATGAAATAAAATCAAAATGTAGGACATCACATCTGCTGCTAACACATAAAGTGAAGAAAATAAAAAATGTATCAAATTAAATAAACCTACTGCAAACAGAGAAAAATAAGAAAACAAATGAAATACCAACTTCCTCAGTTCGACCATCCACTGAATCAAGAACTTAAGCCTGATTTTCTCATCTGCAGAAAAGCTGGTTTATGGTTAAAATTTATGTTTGACCTTTTGCCATCAGAGAACTAAGAAAACATGCCAATAAGTAGGAAGTGCAGTTACTAGCTCTGAATATTCTAAAAAAACTTAGAAATTGAATTTTTCATTTTCAGCAAAATTATCATCATCAACTCCTCAAAATTTTAGTCGTGTTAATCTCCTTACTGGATCTCTTTCATAATAAAATCTATCAAAGTTGATGACATCATGTAGATGATTCATCATCTTACCTTGAGAGTTCACCTCTAAAACCAGTCAAGCTCCCCATCCGCAAATAGATACATCAGCAGTGTTACCCCATTGTTCAACCTACATTTAAAGAACCTTTAAGTTACCGAACTACTTTGTTAGGTCCAACTGAGTCAGTCATCGATAATTTCCACCTAACCCTTACTTCTGAACATAAAATCAATTGCCCGCTTGATTTGAAATTTGGAGGACATTTTTTTTGTGAAACGAAGCCAATTTCCAGCAATGACGTCTATAAAATTTCATCGTAAAATTTTGGTTTTACAGGATCACGTATGACTTTGTTCCCTTCTGCTTAATACTGCCAAATTCTCTCCATAATTCAGACCTGCCCAGAGTGGTTTCTTCTTTTTTCAAATTTTCTTCCTGAAATTTTAAAGTTGACTGTTCAAAAAAAACTTACAGAATCCACTGTGTTTCTTTTCGACAAGTCACTGGCGAGTTTTCTTTTCGACAAGTCACTGGCGAGCGTTTTGAGTTTCTGATTTTTTGAACACCATCAGTTTCTGATTTTTCACGCTGATTCTGAAAAGAAGGAAAAAAATGCAGAGGTTAAATTTTTTCATCTTCGATCTAAAAGACGGCAGCACCTGCAGCTTACAAGCTTTAGACGGAAAGAGAGCGAACCTTCTTGACTCTGTCTTTTGACTGCTAGAACAGCGATTCAATCATAGTGATGGACCAGAAGACAGAGTCCCAATATATTTCACCATTGTATGGATTTCATTTCGCAAAAAGGAACCATGAGCATTGCAATGTTGCTAAGATTGTGCAACTTAATCCTTTGCAATAAAAGTACTGAAATGATGCAAAAATATGAAATTTACATGCTAATTTTTGTGTTAAATTTACAGTTTTTACGGTGTAAAACAACAATTGTTTACAGATAAGCAGGTTTTTCTCTTGTCTTGTCTTGACTATTAGAAAAGCGATTTAGTCATAGTAATGGACCAGAAGCAAAGGTCCCAATTTATTTCACTGTTATTTGGATTACATTTTATAATAAAAAGGAACCAGGAGCACTGCAATGTTGCTAAGATTGTGCAACTCTATCCTTTTCAGAAAATACAAAATCACAATTTATTTCACAATTATTTTTAATGAAGGGTTTGGAGAACTGAAGCATTTATGCAGTTTTTGAAATCACATACTTATGAATGATTTCAACTTAAACTAGCTTAAAATAAGTTCTGTTAAAATTCACTACCAAATTCCAATTTTTTTACCATCCAAAAGTGAGTTCGAACTCTAATTCAACCATGAGGCTCGGTGAATTTTTAAAAAAACTTTGATACAATATTTCTTGAAGAAGCGAATACTGCACATAGCAGCCTTGTCTGCCTACCCCTTTATATGTTTACTTTCTCCAAACAAACAAAACAAAACAAAACAAAACAAAAAAAAAACTACTTGACTTGACTCTCACACTCCTTAGGCATTACTGTAATATTCTCTGCCCTATGAAAACAAGGGAACATTTTGCAAGGAAATTTGGCGGACCTTGCACTTGCTTTCATTTCTTGATTCTTAGTGTCCCCTGATAATCTCCAGACTTCAAAGCTGCAGAGAGCTTGTCCCTTACTTTCTTCTCTTTTCAAATTTGCTTCTCATAAAACAGCAAATTGGAAAGAAAATAAGGAAAGTAAAAATGAAAAATTTGTATAGAAAATTTATGGTACAAAAATAAAAAAAACTTACAGTTCTATCGTGATGTTCGCCAATTACTTTGGCCGCCTCTGCGACCGACAAATTTTCTTCTGTGACATAGAGAAAGAGAAAAATATTAGCAATCTTTTCAGCGGTTATTCTCTGCACTATGAAAAAAGGCAACACTTTGCAGGGAAATTTGGCAGACCTTGCACATGCTTTCGTTTCTTTATGCTTAATATCCTCTAATGATCTCCACACTTCAAAGCTGCAGAGAGCTTGTCCCCTACTTTCTTCTCTTTTCAAATTTACTCCTTATAAAACAGCAAATTGGAGAGAAAATAAGGAAAGAAAAAATCACAAATTTTTATAGACAATGCAAGGTAGAAGAATGTTGAGTCAGTAAATCCAAAGAAAAACTCTTCAACTCCATACATAGCCAAGGCTACTGAGTAAAGTTAGAAGTCATCTTCAGAGAGCCGCCCACAAAAGGTGCACAATGTCATACCCAGAAAATAGACACTTTGCGCAAACCTCTTCAATTTTTAAAAAAAGTTGCGACTGCATGCGGATCCTTCACATACCACTTCACCTAAATTACTTGATTCGTGGTAGTTCTTACTGTGAAAAATTGCATAAAAAATTAGAAGTAAGTGAATGAATACGTTAAATTTTTCCAAGATAGATTGGAAGATTTCTTTGGAAAACTTGAATGATAAACTGTAGGCTGAAGGCAATTAAATTGAATAAAAAATGCAGACTTTTGAATTGTCAAGAAAACTTTCCAAGTTTTATCTGGATCCATTTTGAAACAGTAAATGATGAACCAAACAGAAGATAAGTTGTATAAACCGAACAAGAACAGAAGATAAGTTGTAATAAAAGTAAAAAACAAATCTGCGGATCACTCTTACCAAGAAGCAAGCTGGCACTATATAGAGCCACTTTAATCCCCTTACTTTTCATTACCTCCGCCTGGAGGCGTTTCACTCTCAGGTTTTTCCTTAACGCTTTGTCCATTTTCTGTAAAAAATAATGAGAAAATTAAGATGAGATGCATTTAATCACCCATGAAATAAAAGGGAGTTTAAGATTAGATGTTTTTCTAAAAAAACTGCTTCAAATTTGAAGCCAGAACTGGCAGAACTGAGCATCTTTGCAGAGGACAATAGAATTTAACGTTCACACATGTTTAAACTCATTCGTATAACTTCTTATACTACTCAGTCTTGAAGTCTTGACAAAAAGAGATTCAGTATAAGTGAGTCCTCTAAGGAGAGGTGAGATTTTCTGAGATTTGTTATACAAACCGAACTGTCACCAGAAAATTTTCTTACAAAGGCATCTTCCCCTGGCACGCCATGGAAGTGGGTCAATAAAGACAATAGAGCCTGATACTTGAAACCTACGACAGCTCTCACCCTCTTCACACACTCGACTACAGTTTATGATACTGAGTCACTATTTCTCTCTCTCATGAGTGAAGCCACCCATCTGCATGTGAAAACTAACTGTTACTTAAAGCCCATTTTAGTCTACTTTTCCTCTGTTGATCTGCGCACAGGATAGGCAATTCCCTATCGTGCACATACAAGAAAAGAGGAAAAGTAATTTGAAGCTGGCTCTAACTGCGTGAGCTCATCTGTAGCTTCCATAACAACATCAGTTGATGGAATGTCTACTCTCATCTTATATCAGTGACATTGCAAGAAAGATTGCAGACATTGCAGATGTGCCACTTGTATCAAAAATTCGTAGCCTCTTGATACTAGAAAAAGAGGAGAGCATCATGTTGTAGTAATGGATCATGACTAACCCCATTATTCCTCTAGAGCTGGAATCAGACGTTGAATTTGGCAGCTGATTATAAAAGTCAACAGTCATCCCTCAACAGTTGAAATTTATTTCCAGTTATTTTCATCTAGATTCATATCAAATCCATTCAAATACCTCAGACTAATCTTGCATTATCAGATGGTCCCTGCGCCTCGTTCCTGAATTTTGCGCCTCACATGCAAAATTGAGACAACGGGCCGATGACTTCAACATTCGGGCTCCCACATTCAGCGTCTAATTCTGGCTATACTTTCCTCATTCTGATTGTTCCGTACAATTCAACAACAAATATATGGCAAAGATTGTTCCAGTGACTCGCAACAGGTTTAGACCCTGTGAGCAGTTCTGATAATCGATGCACTTACCTTTTCGTTCATTAGATCAAACAGGTTCATATTCGGAGCCATAATATCTTCGATGGATTTTCTTTCACTTTCTCTTCAAATTAACTTAACTTTCACTCTTTAACTTTCTACACTCTTTAACTTTCTATAACTGAGCCAACTTCAGAAGAGAAGAACCAAGAACGCGGGAAATAGAGAATAGAGACGTGGGACGATCTAACCTCAGCCTGAACGCGTTGTAAACTTACTTGTTGGTCATAGAGAAAAAAGAGGAGGTGTTTGCTTCTTGAGGTTTGTTTACCCTGTGACGTAGGTCGGTACAACTTGGCCAGCGAAATCCGGAATTCGAAATATGAAAAACGGACCAAGAAGTCCGATTTTTTTACTTAAATCAACTCATAATATGATTTCAAGCACTTTTAGTAGAATGACTTTTTTTCATAAATCACACCATTTCCAAGAAAATCGATGATAAAAGTCGCTGTACCGGCCTACGTCATCAAAAAAATTCCAAGATGCTCGAAATGCGAGGACCTCCTTTTCTTTCTCTATGCTTGTTTGTTTTGTTCTGCTCGTTTGCGAGATGATATTGCAAACGAGATACGAATACGATGATAGCATACACCACACCTTGACTGAGCGGGAAAGGCAGAAGAGTTAGAAATATC